TTTTTGTTCAGTCTTGCAACTTCTTGTGTGCTTGGCAATGTGTACAGAGCATGTATATGTTTCTTGTATCTAAACTTGATGGTAATGAGTGATTGCATGTAACCTGTTTGTTGATACCTGTAGTGTGAGGGTCAACTAAATAAAGAGGCATGAAAATGAAGATCATTTAAAGTGGTAAAAAAGAAACTAAAGTAGTAAAGTGTCCTTTGTTGTAGTAAAGACAATCAGACAAATGGTGCAACTTGACATATGTATCTGATTCTGCCAAAGGAACATTTTACATGTGCAATCAGGGACAAAAAAACACACAGATACACACAACAAACAATGCAAATATACCAAAGCTAATGTTCTGTTGATGTTATTTAGGTTCCTGTGATTAGGGCTGCAAACGAGTCGAGATGAGTCGAATATTAGGCTTATCGAGTAAGACTGAGTTTTGTTTACCTGCTCGAGCTCGAATTATGAAGCTCGACAAAAGAAGACAATCGCTTGAGCTCGGCTCGAAATCGAGTGAAAACAAAATGCTCGATAGATTGCTTGAGCTCGTCTCGAATAAAATTACCATTAAGTACATACATAAAATATTGTAATATTTATATATAAGCAGTATTTTAATAATTTACTGTATATTTCGAGCCTCTAGTGAGCCGCTCGATCTTCCAAAACCTATGCTTGAGATCGACTCGGTAACATGCTCAAGCCGAACTTTGACTTGAGCGCTCGCAAGCCGCTCGATTCCCTACTTGTGACAAGATCAAGTATTATACTTCACTTATTATGTCCTAAAAACCATATAAACAAGAAAAACTCAAATCAATCCTTCTTAAGCATACAAATATACAATACAATCACAAACAAGAACCCATAATCCTTTTCACTCTCTTTCACACGCTCACTCTCCCACCCGAGACCTCGGATATCGTGCCCCCCTTCCGAAAATCCCTCGCCACCTTCGTCAGCACCGGCATCATCAAAGGAATCACAATCGACAATGCCGTGAAGAAAATCGAGATCACGCCATCTGGCGTGATCACCACCATACACGTGTCGTAAGTAGCTATCACTGCACCAAGCGCCACGCGTAGCTCGAACTGCAGGGGAAGCCCGAGTGTGAGAAAGTTCATCATGTGAAGGGACATAAAGAACCCGAGGGAGTTGAAAAGCAAGAAAAGCCCGTAGTTGACCGGGCTTTGAGTCCCCATGACCGACTGGCCCGCCGTGTGGGACGTCCCGTTTGAGCCGACAGGTGGCGTGAAGTCGTCTTGCCAGACACCGCCAGGTGGGCTCAGGACAGCCTGGTACGTGGCTGTCACGATTAGCACGGATATCACGAGGAGAGTGTCTCGGGCCTTGCTCGGAGAATCTCGGGCCACGTCGTATTTGAAGTATTCTTGTAGCTTCTTTGAAGTATTCTTGTAGCTTCGGTCGTTGTTATTATTATTATTATTATTATTATTATTATTATTATTATTATTATTTGGTGACGGGTTTCGGAGAGTTTGACGAATGGCATTGGCTTCTCGACTCGTAATCGAGTCGGCCCGCGTAAGAATTTGCTCGATATCCGGGTCGCCGCCTTCGGATATTAGGACATCGAGTGGGGTTAGACCCTTATCGTTCAACGGGTTCATGTCCAAATTCGCCTTGTACCCCAAGTTATCGTCGAACAACAAGTCGAAAACCTGTATGTATACAAGGGAAGGAGCGTTTCGTAAACAAAGCTAATGACTCGACCGAAAGATTTTCAAATAAGCTCGTTGAAATTTTTATTTCAACTACGTTATCAGCTAATTTTATCAAAAACTTTTATCACATAACCTAACTTTTCAACTATAAGTCTTAAACTATAAGGTATAAACTAGGAAATCACTTATAAGCTCTAAACTAACTTATCAACTATCAGTTAGCTTATAAACATAGCCCAAACAAGAAAACACGTAATGCACAGACGATAGACGAATTCATGTAGTCCAACAAGAAGTCGAAAACTTGTATACAAGGGAAGGCACAAGCCCAACTAATTAATGACTCGACCAAAAGATCAAACAATTAAACGCAACCAAAATTCACCTCATAAAACTTTCCATAAGCCGCGAGATGCAAAACCGTGTTCCCCTGCACGTCCTTCACGTTCGGAACACCACCATTTTGCGCGCAAAGAACCTTAAAGGCCTCAAACTGATTATTCTTCACAGCCAAATGGAAACAAGATTCTCTTCGCGCGGTAACTTCATTAACCGAATTCGGACAAGCCGAGATCAGTTCTCTCACGACTTCGACTCTGCCTTTGACCACCGCACAATGAAGTGGGATTCTCTTTTCCTTTCCTTTGACCAAACAGAGGTTTGAGTTCAAACTCAGCAGCTCCTTCACAATTTCTATGGCCCCACTTGCTGAGGCTATGTGAAGAGGGGTAAAACCGTCATGGTTAAGTTCTCGGGCGAGCTCGGGACTTAGACTCACGACCAGTCGAACGAAATCTATGTGGCCACCGATGCAGGCCAAGTGTAACGGATTGTTTTCCTCGGATAAATTCGCGCCACGTAATAGAAAAGGATCGTCTTTTATGAGACTGTGGAGTTTTTCGAGGTCTCCTCTTTTAGCAGCTTCACTTAGATTTCTGGCCATGATTTGTTTGAGAGTTTACGATTAATGGAGCTGTTTGTTTTTATGTCATTGATGGAAAATAGAATAGACTGTTCTTGGGTGTGCTGTGCGTGTTGTAAAAAAGTCAACATCCAAATAATTTTGAAATTTGGTTTCTATTTT